GCTCTACAGAGCTCTCCTGGCTTGCAAAAATTGTAATCTTTACTACTTGTATTTTAAGTGCAATGCATACAGCTTGGTTCTTATCTTTCCAGGCATGTGGTGTGAGGATAGATTCTTAATTAAAAGGAGAAACTGTGGAATATGCTAATAAAAAAATCCCCCTTTTCATGCATGTAAACTTTCATAATCCAAATCTTGCCTTTTAAGCCCTTCTCCCACTTCTTCCATACCCAATCTTTCAATCCCTTGAGAATCCACCTTCTTTTCCAACTACTTGGCAGTGCTTTTAAAACCCTTCTATATCTTTCCGCTTGATTTGTCCATGCAGATTTGCAGATGATCTCCCATGTATCTACCTTGAGCAGACCCCAAGGTTATTTGTCTGCCTTGTGGCATTTCTTGACTTTCCATTACAAATATTCTGCTTGCCATCTTTAGAATTTTCCATCCATCAGCAATCAGAGCTTGTTAGCTAATAAAACATTAATTTCAGAGACAAAAGAAGCAAAATCAGCCTAACTGGAAAAACCAGAGTATGATTTTTAGGAAGAATTTTCACTAGCAAAAAAATGAACTTTTTTTTTTTCTTTGTGAAAACTTCACATAAAACTTAATAATTTGACCTGTCTCAGAAATACTTAAGTCAGATTTCCTTAACATCAAAGTCTATGCTGAGGATTTTGAAAATAAAACTTTTTACACATTACCTGAGAAAGGTTTAATGCTATGTTCAAAAGACTGTAAATTTCCTTTTTTTTTTTTTTCTTCTCTTTAGCCTCAGTGCCCTCCTTGTGCAGATATGCTTTGACCTATGCAAAAGGTAAATCAGACATCATATTTGTTTCCACTTGGATAAAATTGCATTCCAAAGGCCTATGCACTGTTGTGTTAAGAGAAGTCTCCTAAGAAACATTAGGATGAATTTGATTATGAGAACCCAATGAAGTTATTGCCAGAGCTATTGCCTACTGTTACCTACTCTTTCCATTGAAGAAGATAATTGCAGTGGGCAGTCATTTGTTTTTGTTTGTCTCTCTGTTTGTTTTTCAAGTTTTACTATTAAAAATTTGGTGTGATTAGCAGTATTTCTTTGAATAAATATGTGAAGAACTCATGAATTATGATTAAAAAAATCTATCTGGTAAGTCAGTTCTTCTCAAGTGGGAAGAGATTTCATTTAGGAACTTCAAAATACATTTTGCTGTACATAGTTTGCATTTAGTTCAAGTACCTGGTAGGCAGGTAGAAGAAAGGTTCTGCTTTTGAATCTTTAATTAAAAACAAAACAAAACAAAACAAAGCATTATTTGATGTGTTTATTGCAATAGTACTGAGAGACTAATGTCTATCTTGTTACATGTGGCAGAAACATTTTTTTGAAAGCATCAAGAGTGTCCGAGGAAGCATTGAGAGTTTCTGAGGAAACATAGGGACAGCAGTGAAGGAATATTGGTCAGAAGGATAAACTCAGGATCACTGTCCCAGCTGTGAGGCAAGTCTAAGCAAGTCTATGTGCCATGACAGAGAAGAGAGACTTAAATAAAAGTAGTATGGTTAGCTAAGCACTGAAGTGGTCACATCTGAGTCATAGGATGAGTTGGGAGGAGACAGAAAGGTTGAGAATTGCCCCATAGAGCTTTAGGTGGCTTCTGTGGAGGAACCTGGAGAGGGAGTTYAGCTGTTCAAAGCTCCCTTTTTTATTTAGTAGAGATCTTAGGAATCTACTGAAAATGATCCAATCTACTGGATGTAGAGGAAGTTTAGAGTAATAATTCTGTTAATTTGGACACCTTCTTTGGATGGGTTTATCTGAATCCCAAGGACTTAATAAAATTCAATTAAAATAACCTCCCCTTCCCTGTAAGGTCTGTTCTTCTCTTGGATCCAGCAGGAAATTTACTGCCAGAACAGAGGACCAGCTTCCAGAGTCCTGATATTTTCAGTGTAAACAAGAGGGTAAATTCCTTTCTTCAGAGAGTGTTGAAAAGAAGCTTTTGAATTGTTGTAAACTTTAAAGAATCCTAAAAGTCATAGACACAACCATTTTCCCTTGCAGATATTCTCTAATAAACAGCCTAGAGGAAATTTATTGTAAATTACCTTGTCAAGAAATAATATATTTAAATGTAATTATACTTTAGCACGTATAGTTTAGTTTTTCTCTATATATTAAATTAATAAACTACATTAACCTTAAAATTATTCTCAAAGGTCTACTGCAAGTTTTGTTCTCTTCCAAGATATCTCTGAAATATTTTGGAGTCATTTAAAATAATCATAGATAATAACAGAGGACAAAAGGTTTATAACAGTTGTTGAAACAATTTATGTATTGAATTAAGTGTTCCTCTGTGCTGCTGTGTATGCCCCAGTGATGAATTTTGAAGAAAAACACATTAATTCTGTAATATTAAAATGCTGATCAGTACACTATGTGTTGCTGTCCCTGCATCTGTTTCCTGTTCAGGATACAGAAAGAWAAGAATAGTGGTTACTGTCATTATGGTCTACACAGTTTAAGAGCTACACAGTGTTAWAACTGTTCGAAGTGCTGCATTGAATGGCAACTTTTCACAATAGACTTGTGAGCTGTACAGATAAGATTTATCCTAATGAGGTGACTGGGCCAGAGTCACAGGGCTATTTCAGTGGCAAAATAACAATTATAATGGGATAGTAGACATGGAGAAAAAATTAAAAAGAACCTTCGATCTCCTGCATAATATTAGCATTAACCAGATGAAATATTAGCTCCCATTTTCTTACTCTACTCTCTCTAAAAAATGATGAATCAATGTACAGCACAACTATATTAGCTAGAGGATTTGCTCATTTATCTTTTTTAATATTCTTTACTGACAGATAATATTAGGCTGTTAAGAGTCACARTGCGAAATGTGGAAGAGATGTCAAGACTGCACCAAGAAAGTCTTTTAAAGCATTTTCTGTACCCAAGASAGTTTTTGAGGTGCCTTTCTTTTACATGTAGGTACTTTGTGTGAGAAAGAAGTGTGATATATATGAGGGYGATTTGTTGGATCAAGCATAGCAGAAGGAGGTTATAACGATACCCCTGTAATTATTTCTATTGTAACTAGACTTAAAGGATTCACAGTTTAGTATTGTTGTGATTTCACCTTATATTGGTATATCAGTTTAAACTACATAAAAATACTTCATTACACATAGTTATTGACCACATGAAATCAGTTGCCATAGAAGTGCACGCAGTGCATAGAAGAGTCTCAGCAAGTTCAGGAAAAGGGATTGGATAAATTCATTGCTTGAGCAATCCTGTTACTGTGTTTGTGGATGTTCAAAGACTATAGGATGAAYTGACCACAAAATGGCCATACTTTCAAGTTCTCTCCAGGTATCACATCTCTTTCTACCACTGCGGAGGGTTTAAACTGGTTTAGATCGACACTGTTCCATGCAAATRTTTTTTATATTCTGAAATAAGTATGCATGAGAGCATGAGAACTGTTGTTCTATTGACTTCACATCTGCCCCCAAAAAGAATTTTTTTAATAAGAATTGATYATTTATTTTTTGGGTTACTGATTCCATTATATCTGATAGTTCTTAGAATAAGAAGGGGATTCTGATCTTTCAGTCTGAAATTTTATCCTTTTATAGTTTCATTCTGCAGTGTTTATTTTTTATGTGGTGTTTATACCCTTCCTAAACTAAAACATTGCCTGTATTACCTCCAGTTCTTTCATTTAATTTTTGCTTTTCCTCAGTCACAGCTGATTTTTCTCTCTCCTTATAAATCATTTCACTGAATCAGAGTTGTTGCTTCTTCTCGAAGTCCCTTTAGTTTCTTTATTWTTTTTGGATCTTTGGAGTACCCTTAGTTCATCTGTACTTGGTGTTTCAGGTCTTTGTTGGGGCAGTAGAGGATAGAGTAGAGGAGAAGGTCACTGTAGTGAAGCCCCTTATTTTAGTTGCAACTCTTTCTCAACCAAGTTACTAAGTCATTTCTTCTCTYTCTTGACTGTTTTTCTCATTAGCTACACTTTCTGGTATCACTGAAGCATTTGTAATGCTCTGCGCAAAGGTCACCTAAAGAAACAACATATTGTTTTTCACATAACATGCATAMTACCAAATTATTTCTCTGTCAGAGTGGGTACTGGATGGATGGACCCGAAAATACCTTGTTACAACAATAAAATTATTGTGCTGAGTTGATACAATTCAATACAAGACTTGGCTTTACAGTCCTGTGCAGGCTGTTAAGCTTTGCTGTCAGCTTCTTAAGAGGGTGTTGTTTACTTTTTTATTGTTTGTTTGTTTTTATTGTTTGTTTTTGTTTTTCATACTTTACTTGAGATAATAAATTTAGACTTGAGTTGTTTTCCYGGCTCGGATAGAGATTCCCTTGAAAAATGCTCATCTATGATTTGTTCCCTTATCTATGAGCATATTTAGGGAAATAATGCTGTCCATCTTGGAAAGTGTCATACTGCCAAGGATGAATGGTGGTTTTGTAGGAATGAATGCCTACATCTGAAATGCAGTTATTTCTAGAGTGAAATGTCAACAGTCCAAGTATGCATTGCCATAAATGCCATGAACTCTTCTGTCATGGAGACTGCACTGAAGCGTCCTGAACAGGCGAAGTACAATTATAAGAGAGAGAATTTGGAAAGCCCACAAGGGGTTTGGAACAGGCCAGAAGCTTCAAAAGGTCAAGACTTAAGCCATTCAGCAAGAATACAGTGTATACCGTGAGTTAAACATTGACCTGGGCAACCCCACTACCACTGATGCCGTGGTTGTCTCTGTATGTGTTGGTATTGTACAAAACAATACTAGGACTGACTGCCAAGRTGGGGGCATGTAGGAAAGCACTAAAATAACTCGTGCTGTGTCTGTGCTACTCTCTCATCACATGTAGCTCGGAAGTTGTAAATGATGAGGCACCTGTATATAAAGAACCAATTCTRTATTACTGTGACCTAATTTCTGTTTCCACTTTTTGTCTTAACCAGCACATCTCTGTGTGAAGATCTCTCCGCTTTGACTTAGGAAGGGATTGGAATACCCCAAGCAGCCTGTGAACGTTTGAAAGGAGTGAGATGTGGTTTTTTGGACATGGTAGAATCCAGAGATAATCTTGATGGATTCTAATGCTGCCAACAGTGCAAAGAGAGTGGCGGGAATGGGTTGCCTGTGGATGGTCTGCTTCTTTCATCTAGTCACTTGTCTGGAAGGTAAGAGCAGATTTTATATAATGTATCAACTTTCCAAACATCATCTGTAGAGAAAAAGATGTATTCTCTAGTATGCTCAACCGAGTCTAGATAGTCTTCAAGAAATGTCTTTCTGTTTAATGGTAGCTCACTGTCTCATGTGATAAGGAAAGTATTAGTATTGTTTCTAGTGRAACAGGCTTGTTCCACAGTGCTCTCCATATGAAGAACTTATCCCATAAATAAGAATTTATGTTAGCTACCTTAGAAGTAAGAGAATCTTGGAGAATAAAAACTTTTGCTTCTGAATAAGSTTCTTCTTCATGCTTTGTGTGTATTCAATACTTGTGTTTATGTTTTTGTAGCATGTTTGTTTTGCGAAACAGTCTGAAGGTTTATGCTCTTCTACTGGCTGCATCCAGTTGGCTGAAATCAGTAATTTTTGCTTCTGCCATCTGAGCCAGTTGTCCCGTATAATAGATAAGAAGGGAATGCTTTTCATGAACAAAAGAGGTAGTATGTGCTGAGTCAGAAGAGACAAGGAGGGAGAGAATAATGAAGCCAGAGTAGAGAGAATATGGCAGGACAGAGAAGAAGAAAGGCCAAGAAAAGTGGGGGAGGGGAAGGAGAATAGGTGCTAGAACAGAGGGTAATTGCAGGAATGGTAAGAAGGAAGGTATGGGAGAGAATTAGAGAATGGTAGAGGTATTGTAAACAACTCTCTTCTTTGTTCCAAGAAATACCCTTGCAGCCACTTGTGCTCAGTGAACTGCACTGCTTTGTGAGGAATGCACATTTGTGAAAGCTCTGAAAAAGGAGAGGAARATGGGGGAGGAATCAGAGGGAGTTGGAGAAGGAAAGACTTGGAGGCAAGGAAAGAAGAGCAGTTGAAGTGGGAAGATCTGGAGAAAAACAGGATAGATATAGGGAAGAAAAAAAGGAAAGACCACTGTTAAAACTTCCCTTGTCTTAATAGGAAATGAATAGAGTGAGGGACAAGGATGTTTGGAGAGAATATAATGAGTAGAAGGAGATTTTTTAGGTATTTAGTATGTGTTTCCTCGGAAATGGTAATAAAARCCCCAAAAAGCGAAAGGAAGCATGTCTTTGCACCGTGATCTGAAGCTGTGTCACCAGGCCTTGTCACTCAGGATTTATCGTGAAGGAGGAGGTTTCTTGTGGCATATTCAGGCCATAGGCTTCATAAGTTCATGGAAACTGCAGAAAGTGGATACCATTGTAGACCCTTGGCAAGTGTTTTTATATATATAAAAGTATATAAATAAATAAGTATATATATAATATATATATATATATATACACACACACAGGTATATATGTGTATATATATATTTTTTCTTTCTGTCTTTTAGTTCATGTCATTTCCCTGGGAGTATATCATGCAGGATTGTAACTGAAGTTCTTAAGTCTCTGCGGCTCAATGTACTGCAGAATTTTAAATGGTTTTACAAAATACTGCAAATGTTCTTACGCCGCAGTGTAACTAATGCAGAAACTGAGATAAGAGAAAGGAGGGAAAATATCTGTGCTCTCCAGCTACAAAATAACTCAATTTCTTTAGAAACTGACATTTTCAGAATTCAGTGATCACTCCTTCAAGTTTGTAGTGATGAAAGMATTTAGAGAACACTGCATGATACAACTAGATCATGTGCTGGTATTGCTTGGATTAGAATGGCCAAGTGAAATTCTGTCTACAAATCAAAAGGTACAAGTGCTTGTGAGCTGCTGAATCGGGTTGAGGGGTCAGATCCTGGCGATGTGGCAGTAGTACATGGTCCTATGATAGCAATATAATATAATTTGTATTTTAGATGCACTTTTTTTTGGTTGTGGTCAGAAGGCAAGGAAAAATTCTGTATTAGCAGAAGGAAGGAAGGAAGTCTGCTGAGAATTTTGTGAAAAGCTTAGCTTTGCTGCAGACTAAGCCAACAGACTAATTAGCAAATATGTTTTTTGCTGATTCCTGGTACTGTACAATACAAGCTGAAACTTCCGAGTTCAGAATTAAATTGAAAAAAAAATGTATAAGGAAATCGTGTTATCTCTGTTTTCTAGAAGATGCCTGGAATGTATTTCATCTCTGACTAAAATGAATTGACTCAATGGGAAAAATTATTCAGGATAATTTATTTTACAGGTGTTTTTCAGATATTTGGATTTGCTTTGAACAGTCTGAATGTAATTGATTTTTTTCTCTCAAACTGAAGAATTTTATTTTTATTATTTAAATTCTCTATTAATGGCAAAACTACTGGATAAAATACTAATAAAACCCTTTATGCAAATGGCTAAGAAATTAAGGGAGGCATAGTGAGGGGGAGTAGCCAGAATCTGCAAGACACATTTTGTTTCATTATCAAGACAGAAAATACTTCCTATGCGGAATGCTTTATAGGTGGGGTGAGGGCACCTTTGCTCTTTTTACAGGATGCAGTGGGAGTTTAAACCCCTTCATGACTCAGAAGTAAGGAAGTTCTTGTAAGCAGTTTAAAATGAACCCTAGGGCGCTTCGGGGAATTTTTTTTGTATATAAAAAAGAACCATTAGGCTTAACTGATCTAGTATTTGCATGCACTAATTTCACTAGGAATGAACATGTCGTCCAAAATTTTTCAGGTATGGTTTTTTGACTAGAGAAAAACCTGAATGGGAAGAACAAGGTAAAACTGTTTTAGAAAAAGAACACATTTGTAACCTTGTTGTTTTGACTTTTAAGAAGGAAGCAATATTCCACAGTATTTCTCAGTAAAACTGCATTGTCAGTTATAAGTTGTTATGGTTTTAGGTTTTTTCTGGGGGGGAGGTATTGTTTTTGAGCTACATGCTGGAAGAAAGTGGCTTTATGTTATGTTATGTTATGTTATGTTATTATTTTTAACACAGAAGGAAAGGTACAGAATCTTAATTTCTGTAACTAGCCTAGCTAGGGGCATATGTTATTGCTTTTACAGTTTATCTTTAAAGATTTTTGCTAAGCTAATCTTACTCAGTGTAAAAGATAGGGAAGCATAAAATTTAAGAAAGCTTGAAGGGCTCCAGGCAAAATAGCTGTAGACAAGTTGTAACTTGATAATGAAATACCTATTAYTCAGGCACACGTCTGAATTCTCCTGTGGAATATTGATTTTGCTTTGACTGACTTATAAATGTTTACAATTGCAGCCACTAAGTTCATTTTGCTGAGCTAATTAAATATATGCCAAAGCAATGATGTGTTCTGCAGATCTTAGTGCCTACAGTTGTTTTATAAAACTATCCAGCTCGCAGAATGGCTGAATGGCCTATTTAAGTATCTTCAGGAGGTTTAAGATACGATGAAAGGATAATTCTGCTGCTTCAGTAGCACCTTTTCCAATTAAAATAGCTATGTGGTAAGAGTGTTACGTACAGAAAGACTGTGGTCAATTTTATTTTACTTTTTCCCCTACCTCTTCTATAACCTGGTTTAACATCTTGGATGGTAGAAAATAATGTATTGATTGCTGGAGTTGGTTTAACATTGAACTGTAGGAAAATTGTTTATTTTTTTTTCATGAAGGTAATTTTCAGAGGAGTCAGACATGCTATTACTTTTTGTTTTGTTACATAAAAATAACATTAAAAATGTATATTACTTTTCTTCACAGGAAAAAAATATACTTCCTTTGCTTGTGATTCACAAGAGTTATTGAAGTCCTAGCAAAGTTTTTTTTTTTTTCCTGTCATTTTCTGCCTGCTTCTTTCCTGTTGCTACCCTGCATGCCAAAATCTTTGGCACATGCCTGGAGTGCCCTGGGCAGAACCGCCAGGAGAAAACAAGTGAGAGATGGGTGGGATTAAGCTTGATGGACAGGTTATTTGGAGATGAGACCAGGTTGTCCTAGACATCCTGTCCATCTCAGCAGCTACACTTGATATGCTTTCTCCCATGATAGATTACTTGGTAGTTCCTGTAGTACCAGGACATCCAGTATGGTACCACCTGGTACCAGGTAGTACCAGGACATCACTGTTCATGGGTTCATATACTCTTCATSGGTATATGTCAAAACTCAATAATGAAACTGTTCATGAGCTGCAGAATAGCTCACTGCTTGGAGGACAATAGAGGGCTAGTCAGGATGCTACTAAAACTATTTATATTCAAAGCTAATTAAAGCTTCAGAGAAAAGGAAGAGCTCTTTGGGCTTTACATTCTTCTTAAATGCAATATCTCGAACTATATGCTTCAGTAGAACTGGCGCAGAAGCAAACATGCTGACATTTTAGTCTTTTTAAAGGCAAAAAAAAAGCAGAAAACATTAATAAACTCTAAAAATCACATCATACAGCCTTTAGAAGCAACCAGTTTGACAGGAGTACAGTTGCACAGAAGTATAAGTTCTAGACTCAATGGTGAGTTTTTACACAAAGAAGCCCTTAAGCAGGGAAAGAAAATATATCGTATTACTAGAAGTTATATGCAATCATTTAATTAGGTTATATATGCAGAGTTTAGGTTATATATGCAGAAACTAAACATTTAATTTTGTTATTTCCTGATTTCTCCTGCCTTAACTCATCATTTCCTGAAGGATTTAAAAGAATTAATGCATCACTTAAATCTTGTCAGCTTCCTAAGAGCTTTAACAAAAGAATAGGAAAAATGGATGAAAACAAAAGGCAGAGAGGAAAATGGATAAAAACCCACAAAGCTTGAAAGCTCTGCTACGCTGCAAATAACTGCAACATTCCATATCCTCAACCAGTTGGCTGACATTACTGTCTTTGACAGATGGTACATAACTCCTGACTGGAGTGTGATAATTTCTCCATGCTGATGACAAATTTGATGTTCTGATAGTGTCAGCATTTTGCTCTGACATAGCAAATAGTTAGAAATTATACCTCATGGAACTTACTAAATACATATCCCATTGCCTCCAAAATGCTTTCTGGTTAATTGCATGTGAGAACAGAACTGATGCAGAAACAATCACTGCAGGAATGACTTATCAATATTTTAAAGAAGATTTATCTTTCTCTGAGATCAAATTCCTTTGTCTTGTGTGTCTTAGGCTTGTATACGTTCTCTTACATAAGGAGGCATACTTCACAACTCAAGCTTGTTTTGTCATGTTAGATCATATCTGAACTATAAAAAGATATTTTTGTTATATAATTAAATTATATAATTAGAGATCTTTATACAAAGTAAGCAAGAACATGCAGAGATTTTGAACTATACACAGCTACTTCAGCTTGTTTTTTAGCTAAATCACTATCCATTGCTATACTTACTTATTTCATCATGTTGCTGTTTAGCGTGTTTAAAGTTTACCAAAGATTTCTCTGTATTCTATCTCCAACTGATAGCTCACATTTATATAACAGTATTTGGTAGGTTATATGATAAAAGGCTGGTCTTCAAAGGAGCACAGAGAAACAATGACAGGTGTGAGAACTAGAATAACTGAATAAGAGAAATGAGTATCCTGACCTGGATTCTCCTAGGATTATCACAGGACAGTGATTGGTCCCATTGTCTGGACAAGAAACTCATAAACACGAGTCAATGGGAAAAGCTCCCTGGAGCACCTTCCAGATGGMGGAGGGTTGCTACCAACAGCTTAACAGAACTTTATGGGATCCAGGGAAGTTCATATGGGAATTGTACAAAACTTACAGCAAGTTGCTTAGGGGGCAAACCATAGACAGGGAAAGGGAGAGATCGAAGGGGATCCCTTGTGGAGGAACAAGGGTAGGAAAATAGGGGGATAAGTGGATAAAAGGGGCTATTTGCTTGTTACCAGATTGCCAGACAAGCATACTGATCAGCAATGTCTTGTCTGTCCTGCCTTGTTARACTCCATTTCCTAGCCTTTCTCCAGCCCTCCGAGAGAGGATACTCTATAGGATGTGTGTGCATGGAGGTTTGAGTGCCAGCCACTGGAGTCAGATTGCAAGTAATAGGGGCTCATGTGTTTGTGGTGCCAGCAACTGGCCTGAGTGAGAGTACGTCATAGTGTGTGATTGCTAGTGAGTATCAAGTCAGACTGGGAGACCGTTGAGCAGGATAAGTGTCTTGGAAAACTAGGTAGGGACCAAAGGGTCTGAGGGCTGGCTGTTGGAGGCATCAGGAGGTTCAAGTCAGCCAACTGGGAAATTTGGTATCCTGAGCATCAGCTGAGAGACCTGTTTACATTCATGTGTCTCTGTTACTTGGAGAGATCAGATACTGAGGGGGCCAGGAAGTCTAGGCAGATGCCTGGGTAGACAGCAAGATCTGGAAGTTGTTTGAGAGAGTCATTTGTAGATGTGTATCTCTCCATATGTGGAAGCAAACCAGACCAAGAGCCAGCTGCTGGATAGACTGAGAATCTAATATCAGTTATTGGAAGTATCCATATTGTATATGAAGGTGTATGTATTTTCTACTAACAGACCTTCATTCTGATCAGCTGGAGAGGGAGATGTATTGAGGCTATTGGTGCTCTTTGTGTTTACATGACTGATGAGTGTTTTGTCCATACTGATTCACGTGGCTAATTTTATGTGTTCATATGTGTTATATATATGTGTTTGTGTATGTGCCTGTTGTGAATATACACTCAGTTTCTCTACTAGTTGGACCTTGGCATATGGAACAGCAGCAGSAGCCTTGCTTCTGTTGGGCACCTGGATTCAGCAACCCAGCCAATTCAGATTTGTTTGCTGGACCTTGTATTAACAAACAAAGAACAGCTTTTGGTTTGAAAGAATGGGTTCATTGTGAAATGAGATTGTAGTCAGTTTTGAATATGTTTGAGGTAGAGTGCAAGTAGTCCATTTGACTCACTGCTGTGTGAGATCTTGTAGAAGAATTTAGGAAGCAAAATAGGGGAGACTTTCTCAACTATTTTTTGTTTGTTTTGAACTAAAATAGCASTCTTAAGAAAATGGAATCTCATTGTTCAAAATGTAAAATTAAAACAGGAGTCAAGGAATAATTTTCTTCATTTCATCTATTTAAAGCTTCCATATATCTCATATATCCTGATTATTCCTCTGTTTTAAGACAGGGTGGAGTATTGCTTGACTGAGACTTTGAGGTTACCTGCCTGTGTCTAGCAGTATCATGGACAGTCTTAGTCCTGAGTCTGATCCAATCTCCATATCCTTGATTCTGGACAAGACTGAAAGAGTATAGTTCATTATAAATTCATCTGAAGAGACCATTACTCTCTACACTAAAGACCAACAGAGTTTAGAATGGTCTGGCCCATTGCAGTGGGGATATGGACTGTTCCATCAGTGCCAATAAACTGACAGAGTGAAGACTTGCATGTAARCAAAGGCATGTGGTCATCCATAGTGTTACATTATTAATTGTCCCCTGTCCAAACCCTTGGGCTTGGTCCATTCCAACTAATATTTTCCTAAACAGTGCCTAGGTATAGGTCAAAAGTCAGAATGAACAAAAGACCATTCCTGAGAGATGGTTTGAATCCAACCATTCATTTCTGTAAGGTCAGGGAACTTTAGCCATTTGAACATGAATCATAGAGCACCCGTTTTTCTCAGCAGTAGAGAACAGCTCTCTGGTTTGTTGGTTTTACAAGGATAACTAGGGAGTGATGAAGAGATACAGCCAACAGTAGAGGGAAAATAATTGGGGACTTTTGACTCTGTGCCTACAAATGAGGTATAAGCACATAATAATCATGTGTACTTTTTGTTCTATGTTTCCTGGCTTTTTAAAAATTCACCATTGCATGGGGAGTCCAGTCTGTTTCAGGCCACCTGTATCTGGTTCCTCTGTGAAATATTTATCTGCTTGATAAAGATTACCTGGCTCCCTGGAGAGAAGCTATCAGGAGAATAAGCTGCCTGCCAGCAGTGGCAGAGACCAGAGTGCAGACCTGGTCTGTATTCCTCAGGTCGGCTAGGTAATTCTGTAAAGGTGTTTGGTTCAGCAGTAAGCAGTAGATCTTTCCAGTTCCAGCAAGCCAGCTCAGATACTTATTTCTGTTGAAATTGGTACCTGTGGCAACTTGCTGTAGCTTTTCCTCAGAAAAGCTTAAGAAACTTATTATCCATAGGAATATGCAAAACATTAATTCTGGGACTTTGGGGAAGTCTGAGGTCTAGATAAACTTGATCCCTTAATCATCTCTGTTTTAGAATGAGACTGACCTGCTCTTTTTGATATTTAATGTTCTTTGAATTCCAAGGAGTGCTTATCAGTACATTGGAATCAGTAATCCTACAATATGAAAATAGTAACTATTAATGTAGTGTGTCTGCTTAAACGCTGGGACAATCACATCTTTAAGGAGAACAGCAAGAATTGTTGGGTTTTTCTCCCTTTTCCATTTCCATTTCCTTTCCTTTTTAAATTTATTTATTTGTACACAAGTCCATAGAACAGAAAAGACAAAATTAAAAGAAGCAAGCAACCAACCAAGCAAAAATTCATATGTACGATACGTATCAGAAGACGCAAATACCTACATTCTTTTTCCTGTGCCCCCCCAGTAAAATACACATAAACAGTTACATGCTTGCATACTTATACCTTCCAGGGGCTGTCAGAGCTGATGTTCCCAACCGGGAGTACCATATGTATAGTTTTCAGTGTCACTATGTGTGTTCTGTATTGCTTTGTAATGAATGGAGAATCATCTCCAAGAGCGACCAGTCTGGTACTTACCTCCAGGGGCAGATTCACTTACAAGGGGGATGCAGACTAGTTGAGGGAATAAGGTTGACCTGTGAGGTTCTCTTCACCCAAGGAGTATACAAAAGGCTATTTGATAATTAGCCAGAAGCCAAGGTATCTTGGCCTTACATTTACACTAGTAAATAAAGTGATCAAGTGAGCCCCTATGGGTAATGGCATAATCTGACACATATCCATATAACTTCTGTCCTACTCTTTTCAAAAAGAGAGTAGTCTCACCTGTAATTCTCATTATGATAAATCTTGGCCATGCTGTGGCTATGGCTACACATTTCCTGAAGGAAGGTTTGTCTGGCCAGATAATGCCAAGCAGCTTGGTAGTTATGGCACAGCATGATCATGTGCCAGTGCCAAAGCCCCTCTCTTGGCCCTGCTGAAGTTGTATAGATATAGTCTATATGTTTCATCTCAAAACATGAATATGTGTTCTGGGTTTGTGGAAGCTCTCTACAGAAGTGGTTGTTTTATTTTGCTTTGTTTTACTTTGTTTTGTTTTCTCCAGAGAGTTCTGTGAGGGACAGATAAAATTTTACCATGACTTGGAAAAGCACAAAATGCTCTTTTTATTTAATTATTTTTTAACATAAACAGAAATACTTCTGGATACCACTGGAGAAACCTCAGAGATTGGTTGGACCACCCACCCTCCTGATGGGGTAAGCATTTCTCATGTCTTCTTGCCCCAACCTCTAGTAGCAAGTATGTAGGCAATGAAGGAAAAAAAAAGATGGGAGCCAATGAGGCTTGTTTTATGTTCTCTGTTCATTTGAACAACCTGAACACTGTACATTGTGCAAAGACATATTTTTAAGAGAGAAGGTTGTGGGATAGGATGCTATTTCTTCTTCTTCTTCTCCTTCCCCCCTCCCTCAGAAGTGCTTATGAGATCTCCAGCACTCCCCCAAACAGCCTAATTGTAGTAGAGCAGGGTAGGAGAGACTKCTGCTATAATGTTTTGTCCAAAGGATAGTCTCTCATTTCTGCCTCATTTGTTTTGTACATCTTGCCTCTGGAGATAGTAAAGATGGAGGGAGAGCGGAAGATATAAACTTCTGACATAAAGATCCTCAATACCATATGACAGGTTTGCATAGAAGCAATCCTTCCTTTCATCCTTTAAATATCTTTCTTTACAACATCATACTTTGTTTTCTTTAGACCACTGTACTGCACATACCAGCAGTGGGTTCAAGTCCTGTAATAGGTGTGGGACCCTTTTCCTCTAAAGCAAAGAAGAAAGTCTGTCCCAAATTTTTGCACAGTTGAACACAGAATCACATTTTTTATTATTTCTTCATTTTTTTTAATTATTTTTTTTTAATTTTTTTCTCCCATACATCCATTATAGTGGGATGAGGTAAGTGTCCTGGATGACAAGAAGCGCCTGATCCGAACCTTTCAAGTCTGTAATGTGGCTGAACCAGGTCAGAATAACTGGTTGCGTACTCACTTCATTGAACGACATGGGGCCCACCGAGTACATGTCCGCCTCCGTTTCTCAGTGAGAGACTGTGCCAGCATGCGTACTGTGGCCTCTTCCTGCAAGGAGACTTTCACACTCTACTACCACCAAGCAGAGACTGACATAGCCTCCCAGGACTCGCCAGAGTGGCATGAGGGCCCCTGGACCAAGGTAGATACTATTGCAGCTGATGAAAGCTTTTCCCAGGTGGACAGCACTGGGAAGGTGGTAAAGATGAATGTTAAAGTCCGTAGCTTCGGGCCACTTACCCAGCGTGGCTTCTACCTGGCCTTCCAGGACTCAGGAGCCTGCATGTCCCTTGTGGCAGTTCAAGTCTTCTTCTACAAGTGCCCAGCTGTAGTGAAAGGATTTGCCTCCTTCCCTGAAACATTTGCCGGAGGGGAGAGGACCTCTCTGGTTGAGTCACCAGGGACATGTGTGGCAAATGCTGAAGAGGCAAGCACGACTGGGTCTTCAGGTGTTCGGTTGCACTGCAATGGAGAAGGCGAGTGGATGGTKGCCATTGGACGATGCACCTGCAAGGCTGGCTATCAACCTGTTGATGATGAACGAGCCTGCCAAGGTGAGTTTTATTTTCTCTACCTCTTAGGCAGCGCATTGCTTATTGTATCTTTGTGTCAGTATTTGATATATGCCAAAAAGTGACAGATCTAGGAAGTGGCATCATTTGTCACAGAGAGTGCTTACTAACAGCCTCTTCTTCTCAAACTTAGTGCTGCAGACTGAAGGTGAAGGGACCATTTTTGTTTCTAAGAACATGATTAGAAATTCTATTCAAGCCTTAGCTCAAGCAGTAATGACAGAGAACCTTTTGGACTACATGAGGAGAAGGGGTGAAAGCTGTAACTAGCCAACTGTAACATGGTTCCACTTCTCCAACAAGTTGCACCATTCTCAGAGCGGAGAGACCACAAGGTGTAGATTTGAGCCCAGACCCTTGGCTTGGACCCTTTGTTACCACTGTTGGAATCAGTGGTGACAAGAGAAGAGGAAAGCCTGATCATGGACATGAAGCATTCCACAGGAACCTGTGAGACTAGGTGAGAAAGAGGCAACCATGATAATGCTGCTGCCATGAGGTTTTTTTTTCCCCCGAGGCGCAAAACATTTTGTGTGTAATGGTTCTAGGAGGAAGTAGAATCAACGGCATATCATCTAGTAATGGTATTGGGCCAAAATCTGGCCAAACATAAACAGCCAGTCTCATATCATGACTCTCTATCCATTTCAAGCTTAGGACAATCCATTAGACTAAACTGTTTTGTATGTTGCTTGCATATGCATAATTTTGAGTTTAAAGTGTTTCTGCTGCTTCCTTATTTTCGAYAGGCACCTATGGTAAGAGATCACCAGGATCTCTTAGCAATGGAAAATGTTGCTYCACCACATTTCAGGACTATAAAAAAAATAGATGTTATGTGGAATTCAGTTTCAACTCTAGGTTGTGTGTAATATATTTAAATAAGAATATGCCTGAGTTGTTGAGAATTACAAACAATCTTGTTAACTCTCAGTAAAAAAATGCCCACTATAGATGAATGTCTGTATGTTACCTGAAATTCCTTTTTCATCAAGTGATTGGAKTCATGCAAAATAACATTATTAAAACATTTTACTCTGAAACATATGGAGTTCATTGTGCTGGAGACTTATGAAGGGAATTACATTTGGTAAGTGCTTTTCATTTGTTTATATTTTAAGAAGGAATAAAGTATGTGTGGCTTTTTGGCCTGCTCATAGTTTCAACTTAGAAATASCTGGAATAAAAAATAGGGGGGGTTTATTTTCTTTCTTTTGCTAGAAGGATTTTTAGACAATTTAGGCCTTCTGTAGATCACTGTGTATGTTGCTTAATTTGGGGTTAGTCCAGAGAAGCTACACTAATCTGTTTAAAATCTCCTCTGASTTTAGATAAACTTGCTTACCCCAGTCTCTTTCCTATCAGAAAATATTCTTTCCATTCTCAAAACCTTAAAAGCATAGGAGTTGGCTCTGAGCTTAGTGTGTCATCAAGGACATAGTGCAGTGCTTAACAGAAGTAGCTTGTTTCTGGGTTTCCAGACATGATGCTGGGTTTACTTGCTAGATATTATGTGTCATTTAAGCTTACCTATTGTTGAGCATTACCCATTGGCTTATCCATTAGAATCATAKAATGCTTAAGGTTGGAAGGGATCTCAGAGGTCATCTAGTCCAACTCCCCTGCTCACGCAGGGTCATCTAGAGCAYGGGGCACAGGGCTGCGTCCAAGCGGGTRTTAAAGATCTCCACAGAAGGAGACTCCACAACCTCYCTGGGCAGCCTGTTCCAGGGCTCTGTCACCCTCACTGTCAAGAAATGTTTCCTTAAGTTCCTGGGGAACTTTTGGTGCCTCAGCTTGTGGCCGYTTCCTCTAGTCCTATCGCTGGCCACCACTGAAAAGAGGCCAGTCCCCTCCTCACTGCCTCCCTTGAGGTATTTATAGACAYTGATCAGGTCCCCCCTCAGCCTTCTCTTCTCCAGGCTGAACACACCCAGCTCCCTCAGCCTTTCCTCATAGGRCAGATGTTCCAGGCCCCTGATCATCCTCGTAGCCCTGCGYTGGACTCTCTCCAGCAGCTCCACATCCCTCTTGTMCTGGGRAGCCCAGAACCAGACACAGTACTCCAGATGTGGCCTCACCAGGACTGCATAGAGGGGGAAGATCACCTCTCTGGACCTGCTGGAGAYGCTCTTCTTAATGCATCCCAGAATCCCATTGGCCTTCTTGGCCACCAGGGCACACTGCTKCCTCATGGTCACCTGGTTGTCCACCATGACACCAACGTCCCTCTCTACAGAGCTGCTCTCCAGCAGGCCAGTCCCCAGCCTGTACTGGTGTCCAGGGTTATTCCTTCCCAAGTGCAGGACCCTGCACTCACCCTTGTTGAACTTCATGAGGTTTCTCACCGCCCAGTTGTCCAATCTGTCCAGGTCCCTCTGGATGGTGGCACAGAYCTCAGGGCTATCAGCTACTCCTCCCAGTTTGGTATYATCGGCAAACTTGCTGAGGGAGCACTCCAGCCCTTCATCCAGGTCATTAATAAGTTGAACAGGATTGGACCGAGGACCGACCCCTGGGGGACACTGCTAACTACAGGCCTCCAACTGGACTCAGCGCCACTGACTACYACTCTCTGCGCGCTGCCATCGAGTCAATTCCTAATCCACCTCATCATCCACTCATCTATCCCACACTTCCAATCCTTGCTCAGGAGAATGTTGTGAGGGACAGTGTCAAAAGCCTTGCTCAAGTCCAGATAGATGACATCCACTGCTCTCCCCTCATCTATCCAGCCAGTCACTCCATCACAGAAGGCGATCAGGTTAGTCAAGCATGATTTCCCCTTGGTGAATCCATGCTGGCTACTCCTGAGCACCTTCTTCTCCTCCACSTGTCTGGAGACAGCAGCCAGGATGAGCTGTTCCATCACTTTTCCAGGGATGGAGGTGAGGCTTACTGGCCTGTAGTTGCCCGGGTCCTCCTTCTTGCCTTTTTTGAAGACRTTAGCCTTCTTCCAGTCCTCTGGCACCTCTCTYGTTCTCCAGGACCTTCTGAAGATGATGGCGAGCAACTTCGCTATGACATCCGCGAGTTCCCGCAACACTCTGGGGTGCATCCCATCAGGGCCCATGGACTTGTGKGTGTCGAGTTTCCTTAGATGCTCTCTGACCCACTCTTCCTCTACCCGGGGCAAGCCTTCCTCTCTCCAKCTCACTTCTTGTGTCCCYAGGGCCTGGGATTCTASAGGGCTGCCCCTGACAAACACCGAAGCAAAGGTGGCATTCGCCAACTCTGCTTTCTCCGTGTTTTTCGTAACAAGGGTACCCACCCCGATCACTAGTGGACCCATGTTTTCCCTGACCTTCCTTTTGTTGTTAATATATTTGGAGTTCTTGTTATTTTTAACATTCCTTGCCAGATTTAGTTCCAAATGTGCCTTAGCTTTCCTTGTAGCRTCCCTGCATTCCTTGACAATGTTCCTGTATTTATCCCAAGGGGCCTGTCCTTTCTTCCACATTCTGTATACTGCCTTCTTCTGCTGGAGTTTTGCCAGGAGCTCCCTGCTCATCTACACAGGTCTCCTGCCCCCTCTGCCTGACTTCTTATGCACAGGGATGCACTGTTGCTGGGCATGGAGGAAATGCCGTTTGAAAACTAACCAGCTCTCCTGGGCCCCTCTTCCTTCTAGAGCCCTAGCCCATGGGATCTTTCCCAGCAGGTCTCTGAAGAGKCTAAAGTTGGCCCTCCTGAAGTCCAGGGGGGCAAGGCTACTTACTGCCCTGCCTCCTCCTTGTTGGATCCTAAACTCCACCAGCTCGTGGTCACTGCAGCCAAGGCTGCCCCCCACCTTCACATCCTCAACCAGGCCCTCTCTCTCTGTCAGTACAAGGTCCAGTAGCCCACCTCTCCTCGTCGGCGCCTCCACAACCTGCGTCAAAAAGTTGTCATCGACGCACTGCAGAAACCTCCAGGACCATTTGTGCCTCGCTGTGCCGTCTCTCCAGCTGATGTCAGGGAAGTTAAAGTCCCCCATGAGAACCAGGGCCTGCGACCGTGAGGCAACCTCCAGCTGCCTGTAGAAGGCCTCATCAGCCGCCTCCTCCTGGTCAGGTGGCCTGTAGCAGACACTCACCACAGTGTCTCCCACGTTGGCCTGCCCTTTAACCCTTACCCACAAGCTCTCCACCCTCTCATCATCCACTCCCAGGCTGAGCTCCATGCATTCCAGTTGCTCTCTCACATACAGAGCAACTCCACCACCTCGCCTTCCCAGCCTGTCCTTCCTAAAGAGCACCATGACAGCGCTCCAGTCGTTAGAGCTATCCCACCACGTTTCTGTGATTCCTATGAGATCTTGGTGCTGGGACTGCACACAGATATCCAGTTCGTCCTGCTTATTCCCTGTGCTTCACACATTGGTGTATAGGCATTTCAGAGAGGATTTTGTCCTCCTCATTTATTAATATTTATGTACTTTCTTCCTTGCTGTCCTGTATAGGCTAGTAAATTACTTCAGCAGGATCATGGCAGGATTGSAGAAGTTTCCTAAGATATCATGTATTTATTTGCACCTGCAAAGTCTGCTTTGCAGACTTTTCTAGTACCATGAAACTTTTATTCTGCATAATTTATGACTGAATCCTGATTTCATACTTTTTTTTGCTGCTCTGCTCTTTAAATATTTCAAGTATATCACGCATCCTAGGTGTCTCTTCTAAGGAAATTTGAAACAGCAACTGTTTATTTGTTAGACATTTCTTCCTTTAACACTTTAAAAGGCAACCTTRCTAAGGCGTCCCCTTATATCTGCCTTTACGGCTTCATCTCATATCACTGAATTTAGTAAAATTTTGTCACTGTTTTCATGCTGAAAAATGGGGCAATTACAGAGGAAAGGATACCATCGTATTCAGTTAACTTCTGAAAGACAGAGGACAACTATCATACTTTTTATGGTATATCATGCCCTGTGTTGTCTTCTCAGCTTGTAAAGGGGGGGAAAAAAAGCTGAAACACATTGTGAAAACTTTGTATGCAAT